TTGGATATGCTAGCACATTTAATTTCATTTTAAGTTATCTTATTTTTCATTCATTTCGGTTAATGTATTTAATATTTATTATAATAATAAACTTTGTCAAACTTCTCATATCCTTGCGTCCTCCTCCTCCACCACTCTCTGTCTCCCCCAATCAATTTCCTCCTCCCCCTTGAAAGTCCCTCTAAACCCTAAACCCTTCATCCTCCCTCCCTCCTCCTTAATTTCTAGAACAAATGGAAAAAAAACATCACAAAAGATACAAAAGAGTAAATTAAAAAAACACAGCAGGATATGCAATTAATAGGAAAAGACCAATCATCGTAGATAGATTTGAGAACTTTCAGCCATGAATAATGGCCCATAACCCTTAACATGACATAGACATTTTTCTTCCTTTCGACTCCTTTAATTTTCAATGAAACAATTAGATAAAATCATTATTTTTAAAAGTAAAAAGGAAAGAAAAGATGGTTTGCTAGGAATCAAATAAGAATCAACTAAAAGAATGGAGAACGGAGAATGACTGGAAGGACAAGACGGGAGGAGGCTGCGCGGTGGGAGAGAGAAGAAAGAGATGGAGTGGAGAATAAAACGTAAGATCTAATCAATTTTTTTACCGGGGCTTTTAATTAAAAAATTAAAAAACATAAAATGAAATTAAATGAGCTGGCATGTCCAAGTAAGGTGCCACATTATGTGGTATACAAAATTTGATAAGAGTAGTATTCCTTATGTTTTGTGTGATTAGAATGGTTAAGTGCACTAAAATTTATTGTTTTTACTTTTACGTAATTAAATCATGGAAAACGAGAAGAATCAAATGGTAAAGGTTGTTTGACAATTATCAATCAGGCAGTTGGTTTTCGCAAATTGAAATGACAACAATCCCTATTTGTCAATTGCCAAACATGACGTGGTTGTGATGTAGCAAAATAAGGAAATTTTGTATGAGCTTGGTGACGTGAAGCATGGGATGAATTGAAGATGCAAGTGATGCGCGGGGAATGTCCAAAGTCTTTAAAAGTTTGAATTGGATACGCATATGAATCTTTATGGATGAAGACGCAAGATTTGGTGATCATACTGTTGTGCGAAAATAATACTCCAAAGCTTTGTCGTTGATGGACTATGCAATGATACACACAAGAACACAAAGATTTATCGAGGTTCGTCCTCGTGCCTACGTCATCTAGGTGATCCACCCAAGAAATTCACTAGTGTGTAAGAACAACCTTGGTTACAATAAAAAAAAAACCCATTAGTTCTCACAAGAACCCTAGCTCTATTTTCTCTCACCCTTGCTCAAATCCTTTGATGCCCTTGTAAACATCCTCTTGTGTTTCTCTCGAAAATTCCAACTCTTGAATTTTCTCCTCTCTTATAATTAAGGGTTGGTCTAATATAGGCCCCTACAATTTATATTTCTTAGACATCAACCAATTAATTTTCAAATCCGTGTATAAAACCCAAATTCAAACTAAAATGCCCCGTAAGATATAAAAGATCATAGTACTCCTACATATTTACATTGTTTGCCACCAGACTTCAAATAAGTCAACTTGACAGTTTTCAAGACAGCAACACAGCTTATAAAATCCTTTTTTGTAATTTTTTAGAATCTTTTTTTGTTTGACATGAAAATTCTACCATGCACCAGGTAAATGAATTAATTGAAATAATTGATGAAATTGAATGAATTGTAACGAATTGCATTTTGCAATACAATTGCATTATACCCTGGAACCAATTGCATTTTGCAATGCAATTGCATTAAACCCATACCTTTGACCTGTTACCTTAAAAAACCATTTAACAATTTTTTTTTTTTTATCATTTAAAAGTTAGTGCACTGATGGACCAAGTGCACCATAGACGTTGCCGTTTGACCTAAAATTCATAACAGCGACATTTGACCAAACTTATTTACTGTAGTGCCCCTTGAAATTTCGGTTAAATTTCACTTTACCCCTCCAAAGTTAAAATGACCCACTTTCATCCTTGATTGAGGTTTGGTGACCCACTTTACCCCCTGCTGCTAACTCCATTCAAAACTCTGTTAAATCTAATGACGTGGTAGGGGTGTTTTTGTAATTTTTTTACACATGAATCATTAAACAAATTGAGTGGGTGAGGTGGATACCATGTGGAATTATATATATATAAAAGCTATAGTTTAAATATAAGGAATATTAATTAGGCATGTCCTACAATTATAATTAGTTGCTATGAGATTTGAAATAATATCACTATCTAGAAGTTAATGTCGGTTTCTACTTGGCACCCACGTCCACCACGAGCATGTCCACCCCAAAAAGCTAGGGCAAGGGCAAGAAAAAAAAAAGATTATGCAACAAAATATAAACAATTTAGAAATGTAAGAAATAAAATGATTATGCAAGAAAAAAATAAATATGGAAGAAAATATAAAAAATTTACAAATGCAAGAAAAAAAATGATTACAATTTACAAATATTGAAAGGAGAAGAGTTTGTATAAGGATTTGGTGTGGAAAATGAATAAAATTGTTATGTATTTATAGGGAAGACATCCATAATTTTTTGGTAGTTTTAAAAAAATAATTGAAATTTTTTTCGATTTTTTTCGTTCGCTGACGTTAGCGCCTTCAGGTTGCAACCCAGGCAGAATTTACCCGTGGGCTTGCCAGGGTTAGTGGGACCCATGGGTTACCCGGTTTCCTACTCGCGCGTTGGAGGGCTTCTGGGCTAGCAAGGGGGGCCTTTTGCCCAGTTTGCTCCAAGCGGTGGACTTGCTCTTATATCAAACCTTTCATTCAACTTCGCTTCCATCCATTTCGATCCAAAAATAAAAAAATAAAAAAATTTGCTTCCGTTATCCATCCCCAATGGCAGAGCTAAACTCAGTCAGAGTGGTTGAGGTTTGCAATGTTGCTCCACAGCCAAGCTCACCTGCTTGCTCAGCCACACCTTCGCCTGAGGCCCTTCCTCTAACCTTGTTTGATTTGCTCTGGCTCAGATTTGCACCCGTCCAACGCCTTTTCTTCTATGAAATCTCCAACTCCTTTGACACCACCATACTCGTTTCAAAACTCAAAGCCTCCCTCGCTGTCGCCCTCCAACAATTCCTACCACTAGCAGGGAACCTCACATGGCCCCAAGACTCCCCCAAGCCCATCTTCAGTTATGTCCAAGGCGACGCCGTTTCACTCACCATAGCCGAGTCTGATGCCGATTTCCACCATCTTTCAAGCCGTAGCAACTTTGTTGAGGCCAAATAGTACCATTCTCTCGTACCCCAATTGCCAACCTCTCACGAAAAGGCCGCAACCGTGGCGTTCCAAGTCACCATCTTTCCCAACTGCAATGGCTTCTCCATTGGCACATCCATGCACCATGCCATCCTGGACGACAAGTCTTCAACCATGTTTGTGCAATCATGGGCTCACATTTGCAAACATCTTGGTGATGATCCATCTGGTTCAGCTCTACCAGATCAGCTGAAACCTTTTTTTGACAGAAGGGTCGTCCAAGACCCGGCCGGGCTCGAACCAATCTTCTTGAACCAGCTTCAGAATCTGGACGAACCCAACAACAGGAGCTTGATGGTTACCCAGTTTAAATCTCCACCACCAGACGCGGTTCGTGGCATCTTTGTAATCACACGACCTGAAATAGAAGCAATGAAGCAATGGGTTTCGACCAAAATGGCTGAGATGATCAAGAATGAAAAACAATCTGATCGTCCTCATTTGTCAACATTTTCCGTAACATGTGCTTATACATGGGTTTGCTTACTCAAGGCAGAGGAAAAACAGACCGATAAGCCAGTTATGATGGGCTTCAGTGTGGACTGCAGGTCTCGCTTTGACCCTCCGATACCTGCAAACTACTTTGGAAACTGCATATCGGGCCGTGCAGTAGTTGCAGATAGAAAAGGGCTTCTAGGAGAAGATGGGTTGACCGTGGCGGTCAATGAAATCAGTGAAGCTATAAAAAGTCCAGACAGTGATGGGATTTTGAATGGGGCAGAGACTTGGGTTCAAATACATTATTTAATTATATTATATATATATATATATATATACAGTCCCCTTCAGTTGAGGGATCCCTCAAATAGTGTTATTTGAGGGATGGGGATCTCAACCGTTGGATCTGTTTTAATGACCTTGTGTGGCTGAGATTGAATTACATCTTTTAACCCGTTTTCACACTCCTGACCCACCACAAACTCCACTTCAGTTGAGGGAACGACGTACGCTGGGAAACCAAACGTCTCTCTTTTTCCTCCAACGCTTGGAGACCTATCACGCAGACCAAACGACCCAACGTGAAGAAGAAGACTCACCATCGTCAGTTGAAGAAGAAGACCCACCATCTATGCGACAGAGGTATGCTATCATTGGTTCTTATTCTTTCAATATCTGAGCCATGGTTCTTCGATTTGGAGTTCTGGGATGAATTCTGATATGGTTTCAATGGGTTTGAAGATCACTCCTCCAGATTTTTAATGGTTTCTTAAAGTTTTGGAATATCATGTGTATGAAGTAAAAATAAACACAAATAAACGGGTATGGTATCCTGAGTTTTGATATGGATTTTAAGAACTCATCAACAATTCTACAACTTTTTTTTATTTATTGAGTATTGTAGTGTTGTAATTTTCCATCAAACCTGTGCTTTCAATGCTCCTTTCAACATGGTTTGTGTTTCTTGTGATTCATAGCTACTTATTTTTTTGTTTTTTGGGAGTACTGTAGTTTTGTAGTTTTGTAGTTTTCCATCGTGCTTTCAATGCTCCATTCAAGATGTTTTTGGGCTGATGCAATCTCTAGGCAATCGTACAAGTTTTATGGTGATGCGGTTATCTTCGACACTACCTACAACACCAATCGATATTGTATGATCTTTGCACCAATTATGGGAGTAAACAACCATGGTCAGACAATTATTTTTTCTGGGGCATTCTTAAGTGACGAGACTGCAGACTCCTTCATTTGGTTGTTTAGAGAATTTTTGAGGGCTATGCCGCTAAGAATGTCAAAAATTATTATTACTGATCAGGATCCAGCAATGACAAAAGCCATTTCAGAAGCTCTTCCAAACACATTTCACAGGTATTGTAGCTGGCATATTTTGAATAAATTCTCTGACAAGCCCGAGTGTATTCTTCACTATCAACAATTTAGAGAATGTGTTTGGGATTCTGAGAGTAGAGATGAGTTTGACTTGAGATGGAAGAGAATTGTTGAGGACAGCGGGTTAAATGAAGATACATGGTTGCAATCAATATTTAATATTCGATCTAAATGGGTGCCAGCTTATGTGAACCACATTTTCTCATGTGGAATGTCTAGTAGTCAGCGAGCAGAAAGTGGGCATGCATTTTTCAAGAGGTATGTATCAAAAAACAATTCCTTGGTGGACTTTATGGTTCAATTTAATAGAGGACTTTTACACCAACGACATTTGGAATTGATGGCAGATCACACTGATATAAATGAGAAGGCAAAAACTAAGTGCCCTATAATGATGGATAGACAAATGGCTAATATATACACACGTACTTACTTCTATAAATTTCAAGATCAGTTGTGGGAGAGTTATTGCAATAATGTTGAGCTTATAGAAGAGAATGCCACTCACTGCACATATAAAGTTGTACATATGGATGACAAAAAGAAAAAAAGAAACCGGCTGATTGTTTATGACAAATATGCAGATTTTGCATCGTGTAGCTGTCATATGTTTGAGAGTTTGGGAATCCCATGTAGCCATACTTTGGCATATTTGCACAAAATACGTCAGCTTCATGAATTGCCAGATCAATATATTTTGAAGAGATGGACTAGATCTGCTAGATCTGATCTTGTGGTTGACAATGATGGTGTTGTGATATCTGTTGACAAATCCTTAATAGGAAAGCGCAGTGCATTATTCCAACGATATTCAAATGTGATTGATAAAGTCATCTTAAGTGATGAGGCCAGTCAGATCTTCTGTGAGGCATTGGATTCATTGATTGAGAGGATTAAACCATTGCTTCATGGTGCTGAAGAAGTACTACCTTCTGCAAGGAGAAGTATTGCTTTTGAAGCTTGTATAAATGAACCAGATCCTGTTAAAGCAAAAGGAAGTGGGAAAAGACTTAAGGGCAGAAAGGAGTTGGCGAGAGAAAAATACAAAGGTCGGCGTTGTAATGGGTGTGGAAAATATGGACAAACACACGACAAAAGGAACTGCCCTATGCTTCAAAAATCGTAAGAATGCAAACTTATTTGTATTTTTCCTTTTTTATTATTATGTATTAACCTCATGTGTAATTTTGTGATGTTATCTTTGACCATGATAGCTCTTCAAATGTTGAAAAAGATGCTTTTAATGGCATGGATAATAGTTCTTCGTCACAGGTAATTATAGTTATACACAGAACTTATATGGAGTATTTTGTTGATGAAATGGACAATAATTCTTCCACTATATAAATTGCTTGTTATTGAGAATGATAAATTTGTATTTATTTTTTCATTTACTTTGTCTTGTCAGGATGATGAGTTTTTTGGATGATGTTTCGAACTCCAGTGATTCCACCTATTTCTTGGGTTGTAGAGTTGCACTGACATACTTGAAGAAAAGACTATGTTTGCCCAATCAAGCTTCGTGCAACTAGCCTCCTAATGGAAAGATTGTGTTTGTACTTTTTGTTTTCATTAGAATGCCTTTTGATGCGCAGTGTATTGAACAAAGAAAACCATTCAGAAATCATTTCAATTAAAAGGAAACAAATTTGTTTTGCTGCTATTCTTTAATATCATAGTTAAGTTTTGGTGTTATATGAATGAATGTCTTGGATGAGTTTACTAGTACTGAAATAGTGAAACAAACTATCATATATGCCATTAAAGTTCAGAAAAGTGGAAGAGAAAACACGGGAAAACTACCACACTATGAACTGAATAAAGTTTTCATTACTAAGATAAAATAAACTTGATAACATCAAGTATTCATTACGAAAGGGAAAAACAATTATGTACAACATCCATTGTATAGGAAGTAGTCTCGTCATCCCTATACAAATTACCAACCCACACATACAAAAAAAAACCATCCTTATTACAGAGAAGAGCTACAAAATCCTTATTGAGTTTAAACAAACACCCGCAAAAAAAACATCATTAGTACATCAGATGTTGAACTTCAAGAGTGAACGAACAAGATTACCCCACTACAAACCTGCAATGCAAGAAAAAAAAATAAAAGTAAGACCACACTACAGTTATTAAAAATAATATTGAGTTTGGGACAAAGAGGTTAGCCTTGTATTCACAAAGCCGTTCAACATAGAATTGCTTGAAAGCAAGGTGGTCCTTAAATTGATTATTCAATAAATTTCACAATTTGGCATCTAGATCCTGAATTGGGTTGACATCTTGTTCTAGCAGCACTTCGTCCCTGAATAAAAAAATTGGGGTTAACAATAAAAAAAAATTAGGCCTTAACATGCTTGAATTGCATGAATTATGCTCTCTTGCTCTATTTGCCTACAAAACACACAAAGGGAGGCAAATAACTTAGAAATCTAAGAAAATAAGCAAAAGAAGTAAGTAAATAGGGCATGTATATGTATGAAATTATGAGCTTAACAATGCGCAGTGTATTGAACAAAGAAAACCATTCAGAAATCATTTCAATTAAAAGGAAACAAATTTGTTTTGCTGCTATTCTTTAATATCATAGTTAAGTTTTGGTGTTATATGAATGAATGTCTTGGATGAGTTTACTAGTACTGAAATAGTGAAACAAACTATCATATATGCCATTAAAGTTCAGAAAAGTGGAAGAGAAAACACGGGAAAACTACCACACTATGAACTGAATAAAGTTTTCATTACTAAGATAAAATAAACTTGATAACATCAAGTATTCATTACGAAAGGGAAAAACAATTATGTACAACATCCATTGTATAGGAAGTAGTCTCGTCATCCCTATACAAATTACCAACCCACACATACAAAAAAAAAACCATCCTTATTACAGAGAAGAGCTACAAAATCCTTATTGAGTTTAAACAAACACCCGCAAAAAAAACATCATTAGTACATCAGATGTTGAACTTCAAGAGTGAACGAACAAGATTACCCCACTACAAACCTGCAATGCAAGAAAAAAAAATAAAAGTAAGACCACACTACAGTTATTAAAAATAATATTGAGTTTGGGACAAAGAGGTTAGCCTTGTATTCACAAAGCCGTTCAACATAGAATTGCTTGAAAGCAAGGTGGTCCTTAAATTGATTATTCAATAAATTTCACAATTTGGCATCTAGATCCTGAATTGGGTTGACATCTTGTTCTAGCAGCACTTCGTCCCTGAATAAAAAAATTGGGGTTAACAATAAAAAAAAACTAACAATAATTAGCAAGAACCCCCAAATTATGAATTACTCAATAGAACCCAAATCAAAACTCATCACACAACGCAAGAAACCCAAAATCGAAGTTCCATTAATCAAATTGTGTTTATTTTTACTTCATACACATGATATTCCAAAACTTTAAGAAACCATTAAAAATCTGGAGGAGTGATCTTCAAACCCATTGAAACCATATCAGAATTCATCCCAGAACTCCAAATCGAAGAACCATGGCTCAGATATTGAAAGAATAAGAACCAATGATAGCATACCTCTGTCGCATAGATGGTGGGTCTTCTTCTTCAACTGACGATGGTGGGTCTTCTTCTTCACGTTGGGTCGTTTGGTCTGCGTGATAGGTCTCCAAGCGTTGGAGGAAAAAGAGAGACGTTTGGTTTCCCAGCGTACGTCGTTCCCTCAACTGAAGTGGCGTTTGTGGTGGGTCAGGAGTGTGAAAACGGGTTAAAAGATGTAATTCAATCTCAGCCACACAAGGTCATTAAAACAGATCCAACGGTTGAGCGCCCCATCCCTCAAATAACACTATTTGAGGGATCCCTCAACTGAAGGGGACTGTATATATATATATATTTGTTTTTAACTTCCCAGACCTCCACACATACATCAGTTCTTCAAGTGCAAGCTCTGATTTGGGCACAACGACTATACGTTTAAAAAAGATAGAAGTTGAAGGAGATTCCAAAGTCTTAACTCAAATTCTATTACACAAGGCAGAGATTCCGAGGAGCCCACTTCCAGCACACCTCAAAGAAGCTAGAGGAAAGAGTCTTAGGGGGTGTATTCAATTGAGATTTTAAAAGACTATTTAAGGATATAAAAAATCCAATGGATTTAATCAAAATTTAATGACTTATAAGATTTTATTGATAATTTTGTATAATCAAGATTTTTAACTTTTGGATTTTAAAGATTATATCATAAGATTTTATAAGATTTGAAAGGACCACATGGATTTATATATCATAGGATTTATATCTGGGTCTGACTAAATAGGGTCATAGCCCAAACCAAAATTTGAAACCTTTTTAAATAACTAGCCCGACAAATATAGTGAACCCAGAACGGGGGAGGTTGCTGGTTTTACCATCTTAACGTTGGCCTGCTGCACAACTGGTAACTCCAGTCAAATAGTGTAAAAGGAACTTGCTTGTGTTACCTTATGAACTGTTATTGTTATGAGATATCATGTGGTTCTATGCAAGTGGAGTTTCTGCCCTATGTTTTCTTTGGTGGTAGTATTTTCTCTTCTATCCCCTACCACCTTCTTTTTCTCTTCTATCCATGTTGACCGAGGCAACAAGAACCTAAAAAAAGTATTCTCGGTTGTCATCTTGTGTGTGAATTTCTAGTCTTGTTCGTCTAATGGATAGTTTCATTGAATCTCAAAGCTCCCAAAAAAAAAAAAATTGCATAAAGAAAGTTGACATGTATAGAGTAACAATATGCTTGGCTGAATTGTATACTACTCCCTAGGAAAAAAGACGAAAAGGAAAGAAAAGACGAAAAGTTACTTCCCTTGAAATTCTCCCAAACCTCTTATGAGTAAACAACATGAATCATTGCTATATGGCTGGTGGCGGTGAAGCTTTGGGTGTTGAAGTTGGCTTTGAGAGAAGGCGAAGTGGATGAGCACAAAAAATAATCTCACGTGAAAGAAAAAAAAGCCTCATGGGTTAGGGTGGGATTTGAGATAGGGATATATCTCACTAAAAAGTCTCACACAATTTCGCATTTGAAAAAATCTTTCGAAATTAACAAGTTTTTGAATACCATAAGACTTTTTGTTACTTGTTTAAAGTCTTGATTGAATACCACAAGATTTTGACACTCTCTTTAAAAAATCCTAATAGTCTTAATGGAATACCACAAAACTTGTTTAGATTATTTAAAAGTCTTAATTGAATACCACAAGACTTATTTATCCCAAAATAATCTTTTAAAATCTGAATTGAATACACCCCTTAATTTCCTCAAAGATTGGGGCAATATTCCATGCCCCATTGTAAATGTTACTAGAGCGCTAGAGCAGGACCCAGGGGCAGCACGACCACCAATAAAAGCACCGACGGAATCACGTGCTAGAGCAGATGTTGACGACTCATTATGGTTTATGCCAAGCAGCTTTATTACAAACCAATGTCGCACGTATTGTTGAGGTTTATTATTTTGAACAAAAGAAGTTGTGATTCTCATGCCTTGAGATAATTGTTTGTAGTATTGAAGAAATGGAGGAGAAACCGGAACAAAAGGAAGAGAAAGAAAAGATGGGCTGCCATGAAAACTTTGGATAACACTTATTGAGCAGATGAGACGGGAATAATTTTCAGTGGAGGAGTTTGTAAGCATGTGGCGTGACAGCTCTGTAATACTATTTAAACAATCTTGATTTAAATATTCTCATCCTAAATATATAATGTTCCCACACGCATATCATGCAAGCTTTTATTTTATGTCATTTAATTACAAGAAGAAATCATATGAATCTGTATGGAGGAGGACGCAAGATTTGGTGATGGCACACTTTTTGAAATATGAAAATGATTTACAAACTAAGCACTTGGACGGCTCCATATCAGCTAGCAATGACAAAAGGATCACAACAGCCTCAGCCGTCTAACTAACATCTCCAATTGGCAATGCCAGACTCAACAAGCTCAGTTAAATTAGTTCAAGTTTGCAGGGTGGCTCCTCCTCCTCCGCCCTCACCCGGGGCATTCGCTTCCCCAAGCTCTCTTCCCCTTACCTTCTTCGACATCCGTTTGTTAAGGTTTGGGCCGGTCCAGCGCCTTTATTTCAACCAAATGCCTACTTACTCTGCAACACCGCTCTTCATTAATTCCATACTTGTCCCAAAACTCAAAGCCTCACTCTCTAACACCCTCCAGCACTTTCTACCTTTAGCAGGAAACCTCACTTGGCCTCAAGACTCCAAAAAGCCCGTTCTTAGCTATGTCCAAGGTGACGCCGTTTCACTCAAGATACCAAAGTCTAATCCTGACTTTTACCGTCTTTCAAGTGGTGACTTTGTTGAAGCCACAGAGTACCATCCTCTTCTACCCCAGTTGGGAGCTTCTCATGAACAAGCTCCAGTGGTGGCATTACAAATCACTGTCTTTCCCAACTGTGGCT